CTGTTCCTTCAGTCGCCCCAGCCCCCTGCATGGTGCCATGAAATGTACACTATTTCTATAGAAGTCAAATATAGGACAAAACATACCACAGCAAGGGACTTTCTGTTTTTAGCAGAAAGCTCAGGCCTTTCTGTCTTGCTTAACCCTTCAGGAAAGGCTAAATGGATCCAGGCTGCTCTGGGGTTTCTATTCAACAATGACCTTCAATGAGATTGTGGCACATGAGCCTTTTGGAAACCTATAGAACCCCACTGAAGCCTTCTCAGTTGGCTGATGGTCAGGAAGGGGCACCCAGAGTTTTGCAGTTCTGTGGCTGGATGCCGAAGATCAAGGTGCATGCAGGTTTGGTTTGTTGCCGGCCTCTTCCAGATCGGAAGGAAAAATGCCCATATCCTGGTTTTAGAAAGGAAGCTAGCCTGTGACCCCACAGCAATCCTTCCACCAGCTGTGACCCACGGCAGTCCCTCGCCAGGTGTGGCCTCACCCCAGTCAGGACCCAGGTGCCTCTCACCTCTCAGTATGGCTTCCCATGGTGCTATGGCATGTTCAGAGGGCAAGCCTCTCTCATTGGCTGATACCACTTTGAGGGGGAGCAGAGCGAATGAAAGCCCATCATAGACACGAACACCTTCATGGCCTTCCAAATTGTATAGAAGGAATCTGTTTATAGTAAAGTAATCTCTTCTATCTTCCCTCCCTGCACCTATCTAGGCCCCTGGATATCCAGGCCCTGTGCTATGGGATAGCAGGGAGCTCTGTGAGTGTGCAGGGGAGGGGCTCTCATCACTAGGGACCACAGGGAAGCAGCAGAGTCCTAGGAGACCTCCAGTCAGGCGTGAACTCTGAGGACTGAGCTTTGAAAGGTGGGGAATAATAAGCCAGGGCTGAGTGGTTAGCACTTCGGTACATGAACTCAGGTGTGCGAACTGCAGTTTGGTCCAGGACCCAGCTGGGAATCCCTCCTGTCTCAACTGCTGTCAATATGTTTACTAGACCCTCACCCCTGTTACCCACTTTTGCTTGGCCTGCTTAATACAGTGGCCATTGGCCACAAAGGGCTGGAAATAAGAGGTGGTTTACCAGTGCAATGATCACTGCTCCGCCATAAAAAGGAATGGAGAACTGATAAATGCCTTGATATATTCTAACTATGAATGCCTTGATCTATCTATCTATCTATCTATCTATCTATCTATCTATCTATCTCATATATATATATATATATATATATATATATATATATATAGTGAGTTCAAGGATAGGCGGAGCTACGTTGTGAGAGATCTTGTCTCAAAAACAAAACCAAATCAAAAAATGACCTGACACTAACTGGTAGGAATGGTGCACAAACTGGTGAATATTCAAAGAGCTGCTGTCTTAGAAAAGGAAGAAGTTGGGGCTGGGGAGATGGCTCAGTTAGTAAAGTGCTTGCTGTGCAATCATGAGGACCTGAGTTCAAACCCAAAAAACCTTGCCAAAATTCCTGTCGTGGTGGTGCATGCTTGTAATCTCAGTTCCAGGGAGGCAGAGACAAGCAGATCACAGGGTCCATGGCCAGCCAGTCTATCCTGATAGGTGAGGCCAGGAAAGTGAGAAGCATTGTTGCAAAAAGAAAAGAAAAGAAAGAAAGAAAAAGAAAGAAAGAAAGAAAGAAAGAAAGAAAGAGAGAGAGAGAGAGAGAAAGAAAGGAAGGAAGGAAGAAAGAAAGGAGGACCCAGTTCCTAAAGCAATACCCAGGACTGATATCTGACCTCCACATGCATGTGCAAATGTGTGCATGCACACACACAGACAGACACACACACATCATACATACATATATACATACATGGACACACACACCCAGGAGCAGTTGTGAGCATTATGAGTAATTTCTTAACAAAGCTGCTGAGATCAAATGGTGCTAAAGCACTTACCTCCTCCTCAGCACTAGCCACATTTCCAAAGCCCAGAAGCCACTGTCTGGATCATTGTAGGTGAAAGAGGGCAGCTGAAGGCTGGCCAGGCAGCTAGACCCCACTGAATCTGGCACAATGCCCACTCCTCCTATTACTGACAAGACTGAACCTTGCACCTCAGGCCCTCCAGCACTGCAAGGAGAGCAGCTTTCCCCAGTATGCCAGGAGTTTTACTGTTGACTTGACATCAAGCTATGGACCTTGGGGAAGAAGGGACCTCAACTGAGAAAATGTCTCCAGATTTGCCTGTAGACAAGACTGGAGGGGCAGTTCCACTGTACATTAAATCTGGAGAACAAATTTAACTGACAACTCCATGCTGGCGAGTTGTCTACAAACCCCTGAGTTCTTGAAACACCCGGACACGGTGATGGTACCTGGGGTGGTAGGTAGGTTCCACCAGGCACCATGACATCAAGCCACATGATGGCCTTTGTTTTGGAGACAGGGTGCCTTGTACCCCAGGCTGGCTTCAAATCACCTACACAGCCAAGGACAGCCTTGAACTCCTGAACTTCCTGTCTCTATATTATCTAACTTTTATGCACTGCTGAGGGTGGAACTCAGGGCATCCTGCATGCTAGGCAAACACACTGCCAGTTGAGGCATAGTCTCAGGCCCTAACACCTTGCTTTTGCCCCTTCCTCTTCCGACCAGCTGGCATCCTGACATCACTGATTATGGGGGAGCTTGTGGAGTAACCACCTCATACATCCATACTCTCTTATTATGTGTTACTCTAACTGTAATTGTCACACACACATGTATGTAATGCTTATATACACATATGTATGTAACATGTATATATGTCTACATATTTAAGTCTCCAGGAGATTATGAATTCTGTCTTTACCCAGGGTGAGTGTAGCATGTATACATGCACAGGACCTCAGTAGATATTTGAATATGTGGGTCAGAATGGGTCTTTTAAGTCCATAAAGGTCAGACTTAGGTACTATTTGCACTGGACTGTACCAGCACAGGGAACAATAGGAGAGGGCTGAGAAGAGCACAGACAACATGAATCTAAGGGTGTAGAGATGATGAGATGGCCGCAGTAAGGAACTGGGCCTTGGAGCCTAGCAGCCTGAATTCCCAGTGCAGTGGGTGATGGAGGCAGTTACTTGATGTCTTATTTGTGCAGAGGGCTGCTGGGAGGGACTGAATAAAAAAAAATGTAAGGCACCCAGAGCGCTGGGTACATGGAGCTTTTATATTAGTGTTAACTGTTATTGTCATCCAATCTTTCTCAGCCTCAATTTTCTGTTCTTGTAACACATCATAGACTGGTGCTAAATGGAAATAAAATAAAAATTTTAAGACGTTCCCCTCCCCATAATACTTTGTGTGCTGTGTTCTACTGCATCTGGTTTTTTATCATCCCATTAAAGAAAAATATTGCCAACGGCCCAGTATACCAGTTTCATGATTCATGAACCAGCATGAGCTTGAGCATCTAAGAAATACAGCTTGCAGAATACATTTTAATGGTCTTTTAAAACCAGCCATCTTAGGATCACAGAGAACTTGTACAGAAAAATGCAATTGCCTAGACCCCTGTCCTGCAGCTTCCCCCACGACCAGCACCCGCCACTACAAACATTCCTGTGACAGCAGATTGCTTGTCACAACTGAGGAAGCTACAGGGACAGAGTATCACTGTCACCCACATGGCCGACAGTGTCCGTTAGGCCTCCTCTTGCCTATGTGTTTTCTGTGAGTCTTTGGCACATGTGAATGACATGTTTGCCACCATATGATCAAACAGAATAGCGTCACTGTCCCGTTTGCTCCTCTTCCTGGTTCTGCCTATTCACTCATCCAACTTTTTTTTTTTTTTTTTTTTGAGACAATCTCTAGCCCAGGATACCCTCCAACTCTAGAGGATAACCTTGAGCGCCTGATCTTCTTTTGCCCCCTTTCCTAAGGGAGGCACTCTGGGGTCATAGACAAGCACCCCCAGTCCAGTTTCTGTGGTATGGGAGAGCAAACACAGGGCCTTGCGCATGCTAGGCAAGAACTCTTGTCTACTGAGCTACAGCTCAGCCCAGCTTATGTTTTAAAACCCAATTGCAGGCCATAGATGGATCCAGGGTTGATTACCCTGGTGGTAAGAACTGTGACTTGAACCAGAGATGCTCTCTGCCTCAGGAAAGATGAGAGGGAGTGGGGGAGCATCCAACTGACTTTCCTCGGAGCAGGGGGCTGGTGGGCAGAGGCGCCACAGGAATCCAGGGAGAAGCTAACAGCTTGGTGGGCAGGAAAACCTCCGGTTAAGGCATGGCTAAGCTTTCCTCCTCTTTCATCTTGTGACCTGGAGCAATTTCCTTTTTCTTGTGGAGGCTGGGACAAGTTGTAAGGGTAGGGGACAAGGTCTCACTACTAGCCGGGCAGTGCTCAGGAGTGGAGTGCCTAGGACAGAAGGGCTGCGCCCAAGGCTTGTGCAGCCGGTTTGGTGAGCCACAGCGGAGGTCCTCTGTCCCCTCTCACCTAGCTGCAGCACGCAGCGCACGGGAGGGATTCAGCATCCTGAGTCCGGGTGGCCTTAAAGCTCTAGGTCTTAACCTCCGGGCCCTTCTTCTCGGCGGGTGGCTTGGCGGTGGCAGCTGCGCAGGTCTGCCCAAGGGTTAAACGCGTTCCCGGGCAGCTGCTGCGCGTGTGGTGCGAAACCTCACCAGAAGAGGGTACAGTAGCAAAGCGTTTGACGTCAGGCTGGAATTCCTATTGTGTTTGGGAACCGCTCCGGCGAAGCCAGTCCAAGTTCGCTCTCGGCACGGCCAGCCGGATCGCTCAGCTCCGGGGCTAACCTGCCGCCTCCCGCTCGCCAGGGGAAGGGAGGGCTAACCTGCCGCCTCCGAGAAGAAGCTCCGTCCTGTCCTTGACCGAGCCGAAGAGACGTATCCGGAGCCGCGGTGAGTGTTCCCAAAGCAGAGCCCCCAGCCAGCGCGCCGGGCTGCCCGCGCGCAGCCCCGCCGCCGGCTGCATGGCCCCCTCGCGGCGCGCCCCAGCCCGCCGCCGCCGCCCGCTGTGAGCGCCTTTTCCGCAGGCAGGTGGCTGTTGTCCCCGAGGGCCTCTCGCAACGGTGGCGGTGGCGGCGGCAGGGCGCATGGAGCCGGAGCTTGCCAGCACAGCCGCGGGGAGCATGGACGCTTCCACCGAGCCAAGCTTCCCGGAGCCGGGAAGCCAGGGTTCCGTGGCCGGCGAGGACATCGAGATCGTGGTGAATGTGGGGGGCGTGCGGCAGGTGCTCTACGGAGACCTGCTCAGCCAGTACCCCGAGACCCGGCTGGCCGAGCTCATCAACTGCCTGGCTGGGGGCTATGACACCATCTTCTCTCTGTGCGACGATTACGACCCGGGCAAGCGCGAATTCTACTTTGACCGGGACCCGGACGCGTTCAAGTGTGTCATTGAGGTGTACTATTTCGGGGAGGTCCACATGAAGAAGGGCATCTGCCCCATCTGCTTCAAGAACGAGATGGACTTCTGGAAGGTGGACCTCAAATTCCTGGATGATTGCTGCAAGAGCCACCTGAGCGAGAAGCGCGAGGAGCTGGAGGAGATCGCGCGCAGGGTGCAGCTCATCCTGGACGACCTGGGCGTGGACGCGGCCGAGGGCCGCTGGCGCCGCTGCCAGAAGTGCGTCTGGAAGTTCCTGGAGAAGCCAGAGTCTTCGTGCCCGGCGCGGGTGGTGGCGGTTCTGTCCTTCCTGCTCATCCTCGTCTCCTCCGTGGTCATGTGCGTGGGCACCGTCCCCGAGCTGCAGGTGGTGGACACCGAGGGCAACCGCGTGGAGCACCCCACCCTGGAGAACGTGGAGACGGCTTGCATCGGTTGGTTCACGCTGGAGTACCTGCTGCGCCTCTTCTCGTCGCCCAACAAGCTGCACTTCGCCCTGTCCTTCATGAACATCGTGGACGTGTTGGCCATTCTGCCCTTCTACGTGAGCCTCACGCTCACGCACCTGGGCGCCCGGATGATGGAGCTGACCAACGTGCAGCAGGCCGTGCAGGCCCTGCGGATCATGCGCATCGCGCGCATCTTCAAGCTGGCCCGCCACTCCTCCGGCCTGCAGACCCTCACCTACGCCCTCAAGCGCAGTTTTAAGGAGCTGGGGCTGCTTCTTATGTACCTGGCCGTGGGCATCTTCGTCTTTTCCGCGCTGGGCTACACCATGGAGCAGAGCCACCCTGAAACTCTGTTCAAGAGCATTCCCCAGTCCTTCTGGTGGGCCATCATTACCATGACCACGGTGGGCTATGGTGACATCTACCCCAAGACCACCCTGGGCAAGCTCAACGCGGCCATCAGCTTCCTGTGCGGGGTCATTGCCATCGCTCTGCCCATTCACCCCATCATCAACAACTTTGTCAGGTACTACAACAAGCAGCGAGTCCTGGAGACGGCGGCCAAACACGAGCTGGAGCTCATGGAGCTCAACTCCAACGGGGCAGAAGGCAAACCTGGGGGCTCTCGCAGCGACCTGGACACTCTGCCCCCAGAGCCTGCTGCCAGGGAGGGGCCGAGCTGGGGCAGCCGGCTGAAGCTCTCACACAGCGATACCTTCATCCCCCTGCTGACGGAGGAGAAGCACCATAGGACCCGGCTGCAGAGCTGCAAGTGATGGTTGGGCTCCCTGGCCAGGATAGACGGGGCTGTGGATGGACAGACCATTGGGTAGGCATGTCGGTAGGCATGTCTGTGGTTTCAGAGGAGCTGAGTGTGTCTCCCAGCCCTCCCCTGAGCAGACCCTGCCAAGGCTGAGTAAGACTCCTTGGGTGCCGGCTGTCCAGGTGCGGGGCTCTGGGGGAGTGCAGGAGCCACAGGGCCACTTGGGGGCTATGAGGATGGCCTGGCAGAAGCCCACATCTGCTTCTGTGTCCCCTTCAATAAAAACCTCCCATTCAGCATACCCTCCATGTTGTGGGTCGGCTCGGGCCGGTTGTCGCCCCAAGAGTGACTCCTGCACACCCTAGTGCTAGGCCAGAAGGGTGGTGTGCAGCTCCAGAGGGAGTGGGGGGTAGCTATTTTTAGTTGGGAGCTAATTAAAGAAGGGCTGAAAGGCAGGGTTCAGCTCCAAGGCGCCTTGCCACATTCCAGGAGATACTCTCCTGTTTCCTTGTGTGGAGAAGCTGGCTTCCTGAGGCTTGGGGAGGAAGGAGAGGTTAAAGAGCCAGCGATGGGGCAGCTAGTTCAGAGCTGTCACCTGTGGAGTAGTCCTTCTTACACAGATCCTTTCTCCTTTCCAGCCACTCTGGTAAACAGGCATCCCCATTTTACAGGTTAAAAAAAAAAAAAAAACTGAGGCTCAGGGTCACCCAGAAATCCACCCCTGGTTCTGATTGTCCCCGAGTCCATGTGGTCTCTCCAACAATAGGCTGTGTGGGGGCAGAGGCCTTTTGGAGGGCTTATAAGGGAGGGTCTGGATTTCTCAGTGGTTTGTGTGTCTAGGGGACACCAGAGAATCACGGTTCTTAGTTCGGCTCCAGGCATCAGTATGGCTCAGTCAGTCATAGCTGTTTCTATTGTTCTAGGCTGGAAAGAGCGAGTTGCACAGCTGTCCACTGTGGTCTCCATAGGTCTGGACTGGGCACGAGGGGAGTTAAAGGACAGGCAGGGTACTGTAGGGCTGTTCTTGGCCAAATGCTAAGAGCTGGGTCTGCAGGCCTAATCCTTTCTGGGTTTCCACCTTCTAACAGCTGTAGAGCCCTGCTGTTCACCCCACCCCCACCCCAGCTGTGGAGGCACCAAGGAAGGAACGCTGTGGCGGAGTAGGAGGTGGAGGGTAAAAATGGAGGGAGAGAGGTTGTCTTCCATCTGCCTCCGCTTTGGGTAGCTCTTTTCTCTTCCCTGAGCTCAGATTTTCCCAGAACTATCGGAAAGCCTGATTCTCCAGGGCACCTTCTAGATCTGCCTTTCCAAGATCTCCAAGGGTTGGCTTTTTGTTTCTCACGGCAGGGTCTCCAGGAGGTAGGTTGTCACTTGAACGGGGAAGTCTTGAGGTTGTGTCTTCAGGGTGCAGGCTCACTCCATGCTTCAGTGTTAAGACACTCAGGTAGAGATGGATTAGACCTGGGGTAGATGGCCAATGTAACAGTGATGTTAGTGGCTGTCCAAGGGGACACAGGGACTGCCCCATGCCTCTCCATCCCTCTCATTTAGGACTCTGGAGGTCTTTAGCGTTTCTGGTCAGGCTGGCTAAGGCACTGGTTGCTTCAAACTCTGTTGTATGGCTCCCCTTTGTATTTCTCCAGGATGACACCAGGTCCCATGACCATTAAAGGCAGCAGAAGAAGCTGGGGTCTGAGGAAGTGTAGACTCCAGGTAGGGGAGGACAGGACCTACTGGGATATGTGGGTTTGGGGGGCTCAGTAGATTTGCTGAAAGGTTGGCTTGCTTTGTCCCCATTAGCCTAGAGTCCTTGGGAAATGAGAATATGATGAGTGCCATCTGAGGACTCAGAGCCCCAGAAAGGGGGAGAAGCTCAGAATCTAAAGAAAGAGATGGGTGGCCTCGGGGCAGAAGGCCATCTTCCTGGGTTCCCTGCCTTCTGAGGCAGTGGTACTGGAGATGGCAATGGGTTACATGGAAGAGTACGTACAGCTGCAAAGCATCTTCATCTTGTTCAGGAGTGGGAGATCACCCCCAGAGGAGTGAGCCATCAGTGAGATCTCTGTAGCCTAGGATCCAGTGGAACACTGGTCCCGGGGAGAGCTGGGGGAGGCTCAGTGACTGACAGTGATCCTTACAGAGTAATATGCTTTGTCATAGAGGAGTAGTCTGGATGTTCTAAGAGCCAGTCGTCCCTAGTCCCCAGGAGATCTCTGGGTTTCAAGTACTTGAAAATGTGTACCTTAGAACCAGTGAAGGAAGATGGGGAGCTTTGAACTCTCAGTGTCCAGGCTACACCCCATTCCTCTGAAATTAGAATGTCTGAGATGGCCTCCAGTGTCAGTATTTTTATAACTTAAAGTACACATGAGTCATGGCGATCGTGTTAAACCCAAGGTTTGGATCCGTAGAGCTGAAAAAAAAGGTATTCTTTCTCAACAAGCTCCCAGGTGCAGCTGGACGCTGGGGCTACTGGTCCACAAACTGGCTTTGAACAATCAGAATAAGCCTGTAAACTGTAGCCTGGGGGCAGATCTGGTGGACCACCTGTTTTTGCACAACTCATGACATTAGAATAAGTTTTATATTTTTAAATGGTTGAAGAAAAAAAAAAACCTCAGAGAAATAACATTTTGTGACCTGTGACTAGTACTTTGAATTTAAATTTTGTTGTCCATAAATAAAGTGTTATTGGAACTAACCTGTCTGTTTGTTTGTTTTGGGATCGTTAGAGACAGCTACAGAGTTACAAGACACAGTTGAGGAGTTGAGACCAGATGGCCCCTAGAACCTGAGTCACTTCCTCTCTGGCCTTTATAGAGGAAGTTTGCCCACCCAGGCTGGATGGGATGGGTTCCAGGGATGCCCAAGAACCCTTCCAGAGGAAAAGCCAAGAATATCCTCGGAGCCAGGAATTGTGGAAGGGACGCCTGGGTGCTCATGGCTCCAGGGAGGGAAGAGTAGGAACTTCGGGGGAAAGGCCTTTCTTTTCGCCCTTACTGTGTCACAGGCTCTCAGCTCCCCAATTCCTTTACTCTTGAAAATTCCCTGCCTGGCTTCTCTTTTAGCCTGCTCCCTGCAGTCCAGGCCTGCCCTTCTGCTCCACCTTTCCGACTTCTACCCACTGTCTCCTCACAGCTCTTCTGCCGGGATGCTGTCTCCCCCGCTTCTTTTTCTGCTACCTACATCGGTTAAGAACAAGAAAATGTTTTGGGGGTTGCAGAAGGTATATGTTGATAGAAAAAAGAGCTATTGATGAGTATTTGCATAGTTAGGAAACTGTGGTTCTAAACTGAAATCTTTGAGGCATTCATTAAAGGCCTGCAGGTCACAGGGATACCTTGTTTTGCTTTGGTTAACATTGAGAGTGAACAGTTGTGCCATTTAGAGTAGAGTTGTGTGCATGTGTAAATACGAATTCATTTCTAACTCCCAAAGGAAAGGATATGTGGTGACAAATTCATAAACTGCTTTGTTTGGTCTTTAAATATTACACATGACTAAACTGGTCAGTCCATCTAATAGATGGGGAAACTGAGGCCCGGGGAACTGAAGTCGCATGCTGGTGCTGGTGGCAGTGGCAGGAAACAGAACTTTCAGCTGTCCTTGCTCATCTGAACATGGGCAGGCCACCCCCCTCCCTACTCTACTCCCACCCAGCAGTTTCCAGAGTCGAGAGTCCTGGGGCCCACCTCATGGCTAACCCAGCTTCCTAATAAGGTGAAGGATATTGTCATCTAGTCTCTGGAAGGCATCACTCCGGCAGTGGTGGGTTAGCTTTAGTGGTGGTAAGAGAAAGGGTCAATATATTTTCTCCAGTGAGCAACTCCGGGCAGATATATGGCTATGTGGCATTCAGGTTCCATCCTGATCTCGTGCAAGGAGCTATAGCCTCATTTTGGATGTGTATCATAAAATAAGTAGGGTGATCTAAGATAATGGCAAGATTCGTTCCCAGGGGAGAGCTATTGAGGCAGATAAGACACCGGCAATGGTCCTGCAGTGACAGCCACCAGTTCACAGACCTCTCTGTGCTTGCAAGACCCAGCTCTCGCTTTCCCTCACTCTGTGGGAAAGGCTGCCTGCCCCCACCCTAGAATGATTTGATGTCACAGGTTTCCTCTGGGAAAATGAGAAACTCTGCTTCCAGAGGCCTCCCACCTGTCGCCTGTGGGAAGACAGCTCTGAGCACGGTGTGCCTGGCGGTGCATTTTTACCATCAGAGTGAGGATTTCACTGACACCCATATATCCAAGGTAGAAAGCCGCCCTGCCCCCAACATGCACAAATTCTTTCCTGTGCCTGTAACAACCCACGGCGTAGCTGTAGGGATAATGTGGGCTTCCAAGTAGCAGAGACTACACAAGAGCCAGAGACTGGGCTTAGGTCTTATTTTTCTTTGTGACAGCCAGGCTCAGGGGCTGTCTGCAGCTCCTCCAATGAGTGAATTAGCTTTATCTTCACAAATAGGGGAACTGGGGTCCAAAGGGCAGAAGCCACAGGCTGGTACTGATGCCAGAAGTCAGTACTGAGCCTAGAGCTGATAGATGTGACCCCTCCCATCCTCCATTCCCCATCCCCTTCCTGGCTGAAGTGACAGAAAATTGTCTATGGTCACACAGTTACAGAGAAGCCAGACATGTGGACCAAACAACTGCATAGTCCTATGAAGCCATCCCTCCCCAGGAACCAAGGCCTAGAGCCACCATCACTGACCCCTCATTCTACAGAACTTCCTATTCCTTCCCTATATGGACTTGACGGTAGGAGATGACAATGTGCTGGCAGGATATCTCTCCATACACACACTACCGTGCCAGGACCACTGTCATCATCAACAACGCAGCTAGAAAGACAGGCTGGGCTTGCCACAGTGACAGTCCAGACCCGGCAAGGCACACAGGTTCGCACACACGGCTAGCTTCTTCTGGTGCAAGGTTGCTCGGCCACGAGGAGCACCGCTCTCCACTTCCCATTCTCGCGCTGTCTTGTCCCTTGTTGGGCTTGGGTGTGAGTACACCCTGCTCTTGAACTATAGGCCCCAGAGGAGGGCCAGCCAGAGACCCTGGCAATTAGGCTTCAGGTAAACTGGACCCTGGGGAGTGCTAACTGCTGTCCGGTCTACTCTTGTGTGAGAAAGGGGGTACAAGCCAGACCCCTTTACTGATTTTGGTGTCTCCCCAACTACAAGGTGATGAGGGGCTGCTGAGCCTGTCATTGTTCTCAGCAGCATGGCCCCAAACTCCGTAATGCCCTCATTGCTTACTCTCTCCTCTACACAAGGCCTATGGTTTGTCACACGCTCCACTGTGCCCTGGAGGTCCCTGTTGTCCTTAGCATGCTTCTGCCCATCACAATTATCCCTTGATGACCACCTTCCTTTCTCAGAGGTAACAGTGCCCCCGTGTGCCCTCGTGGTGCACACAGAATTCCTGCTGTGGAAACTCTAGGGTTCACTCACTTCCCACTCAGCTCATCCCCACCCCACCCCACTTTCTGATAGTCACAGGTCGGGCCCTGCCTGACCAAGTGAAACAGAGGTTTTGGAAATTCACCTGGAAAAGCAGCCCCTGTAACAGCTTCCTAAAGGATGGTAAAGCTCGGCATGAGCTCACTGTTCTCACAGCACTCCATACACAGTGGCACACACAGGTCCGCTCTGACCTCCACAGAGGCCTCTTGGCTTTCAGAGCCTGATGTTCACAGCCAGTGTGAGGGATCCGCCTTATCAAAGAACACATGTTGAGGGTACAATATCCTGTGTGTGTCTATGTCTGTGTATGTCTGCATGAATGATTATCTCTATGTAGCTATGTGTGCTCGTGCATGTGTGTGTTTGCATGTCTGTGCATGTGTTTGTGAGTATCTCTCTTTGTGTCTGTGTGTGTGTGTACGTGTGTGTTTGTCTGTATGCCTGTATATGTCTGTGTGTCCATTTGTCTGT